CTGCACTTTGGCGGCCTGGGTTCGGATCCTGGGCACGGACCTACACCACTCGTCAGCCATGCAGTGGCAGTGACCCACATGTGAAATAGAGGAAGATTGGCACAGATGTTAGCTCAGGGCTAATCTTCCTCAAGCAGAAAGAGGAAGATTAGCACCAGATGTTAGCTCAGGGTGAATCTTCCTCAGGAAAAAAAAACTCATGGGATACAGCATAATCTGTGCTTAGAGGAAATGTATAGCCTTAAAATGAGCTTCTCTTTGAAAAGAGAAAAACTAGGCCAGCCTGGTGGCATAGTGGTTAAGTTTGTGTGCTCCGCTTCAGTGGCCCAGGGTTTTCAGGTTTGGATCCCAGGTGCTGATGTAGCACTGCTCATCAATCCACATTGTGGCAGCATCCCCCATACAAAATAGAGGAAGATTGGCACAGATGTTAGCTTGGTGACAATCTTCCTCAAGCAAAAAGAAGAAGATTGGCAACAAATGTTAGGCCAGGGCCAATCTTCTTTACAAAAAAAATGAAGAAAAGAAAAAAACTAAAAATCAGTGATCTAAATATTGATCTCAAGAAGTTAGAAAAAGAAAAGCAAATGAAATCCAAAAATGTAGTAGAAGGCAGAGAATAAAAAGGAGAACTTATTGAAGTAGAAAACATACAGTAGGAAAAATAACAACAATAAAAAAATTGGCTTTTTGAAAACACTATAAAATTGATCCACTCCTGGTAAGACTGAGCAAGAAAAAAAGAAGGCCCATGTTACCAATATCGAGAACGAAAAAGGGGACATCATGCCAGATCCTATGGTCATTAAACAGACAATGAAACAACATTAAGTACAGTTCTTGCAAAACATAGAAAAGAGAGGATACTTCCCAGCTTGTTTTATGAGACCAGCATGACTGTGATACCAAAATCTGAATCAAGAATATTGTAAGAAAGGAAAATTTACAGGAAAATCTCTTACATGATTATAAATGCAAGATTAACCCAGTGATATATAAAACATACATCATATTGTGTACGAGAGCATATATTCCAGGAATGAAAGTTGGGTTTAACATTCAAAATCAATCAGTTTAGTTCATCACATTAATAGAATAAAGGGAGAAATTATACAAGCATTTCATTAGATGGAAAAAATTGATAAAATGCAAATCTCATTCATGATAAAAAAGAAAACACTCCTAGCAAATGGAAATAGAAGGGGATATCTTTAATCTGATTAATGGTATCTACAAAAAAAAAAAAATCTACAGCAAGTATCATACTTAACAGTGAAGTGTTGAATGTTTCCTCCTGAAAGATCAGGAATGAAAGACAAGGGTCCTCATTATCACAACTTCTCTTCAACATTGTACTAGAGGTCCTAGTCAGACAATATGACAAAAAAAAGAAATTGAAAGTATAAATATAGAAAAGGTAAAAACAAAATTGTCACTGTTTGCTTTAATTCATCTTCATACCTGCAAACTAAGATTGTAAAATTGCTTGGTGAATATAGACATTCAATCCTTACATGTAAATGGCTGTTTTATGGCTCTTTAGGGTAGCTTTAGGTACCTAAAGAGATTTCTTAGAGAAGGGAAGAGGTTAGGAAAAGCTACTTCACAGAACTGACTTTTTTTTTAATCATGTCCCTTTCGAACCCAGTTTAAGTGGAGATAGTGGCTTGAGACAGGGAGTCTGGTCCTTTGCAGCCGAGGAGCAAAGATATAGCAGGGTGAGGAGATGTGAGCTCAGCATTGTATGGTGAACACAGAGAACATTTTTCCCTAGAAATATGTTTGCCTAACGGCTAAATTCTGTAGTATTTCATGTACACTGCAGGTGAAGTAGTCTGTCAAGCAGCCTTAGGATCTTGTGTATCCTATGTAACTTTCCCCCATAGGAATCTGCGTTCTTAGTTAAAATGGGGAGAGGAGAGAGAGGAAACAATAAGATGTTTGGAATATTATTTCTAATTTGAGAGTTTCTTATAATTCAAAGGATAGAAGTTACCCTTTGAAGAGATGGAAAGACAAACCTGTTTAAATAGCCCAGGGACTTCTCATTTGAAATTTTGTCTCCTTATCTGTACTCCTCTGATTATATCAATATTCATATTAAAAGAGTCTTTAGGATCTCTGTCAAAAATTCGTCTTTGGAGCCGGCCCAGTGGAGTAGCGGTTATAGTCATGTACTCCACTTTGGCAGCCTGGTGTTTGCCGGTTTGGATCCCAGGTGGGGACCTACGCACCACTTATCAAGCCATGCTGTGCAGAGTCCCACATATAAAATAGAGGAAGATGGGCACAGATGTTAGTTCAGGGCCAGTCTTCCTCAGCAAAAAGAGAAGGATTAGTGGCAGATGGAGGTTAGCTCAGGGCTAGTCTTCCTCAAGAAAAAAAAAATAGAATTCATCTTTGTAGTACTTGATAACAACTATTTATCTTACTTTTATATGGCTGGCTTGAGGCTGGCTTCACTATTCTCTCAATGGTATGTGTATATCATATACACACACACACACAGACAAACACCCACTCTGTATGTGTAAAGTATTATACTGTATGAAAATAGTCATGGAATGCCAACCCCTCATAACAACTTCAGGTGTGGTCTCTTCACTGCAACTGTTGCTGAACCCAAAGAGCTTGAAGCACAGTAATGCTTGCCGTGAGTGATGTGGCATTTCACAACCACCACCAGCGCTTGATGTCAAGTGGTGCCACTACCCTATGCCAAGTACTGTTGTAAGCACATTATATGTATAACAGCTTGTAAGGTAAATAATATTAGCCCCATTTTGCAGATGAGAGAACTAAGTCATACAGAGGTTAAACAATTTTCCGAAGGTCGCACAGCTGGCAAGTAGTGGAGCTGGAATTCAACCCCAGGCGGTTTATTCCAGAGTGTGTACCCATCATCACTATGCCACATTACCTTTTGGTATTACTTTAATTTTCCTAAAAAGCAAAGACTCTCCAAGAGTTAAAAAACAAAAAACAAAACCCCACTGTGTGTGGAAGGGAATCTCAGCCAGGGAGCCCCACTGCCTCACTTAGTGAGGCACATGGGAATGTGAGAGAGTGCGGAGGTGAGATATTTAGTTTGAAAGAGATCTTTCGATTGCTTAGGAGTACAGGCAGTAAAAGGGCTAAGAAATACTAGCCTGTAGGATGATTTTATGTAGTGTGAGCATTTCCAGTATTTTTTCTCTTTTTAAAAGTTATGACATTCTTTAATTCATCTATTTTTTTGTTAGCCCTTTCAAATCAAGAGAAAATCTAATTCTGCTGGGGGATTTTATAGCATCATGTTGAAACTTGACGTTTCTGGACCTTAGGATCTCCTACCCCATTAAAATATCTGATAAACCAAAACACTTCTATGTTTCTACTTTAGAGCAATGTAGCACAATATTCTGAGGAATAGAAAGATGGCTAAGAATGAGAAAGTTATTTTCTGGGTAAATAAACCTATATTTTGGTTACCTCTGATCCCTTTCAAATTTTTGAAAGCAAAATTTTTAATCAAAACTGTGATTTTCTTTTTTTTTGAAATTGGCTTTTGATAGATTTTTTCATACCACATTGCTCCCTCTCTCCTCTCTTCTTTTTCCTGTTCAGTAATACTTAAATTTGGGTGTTAAAATACCCCCAGTCTGATGTTTAAATATTTAGATAACATGAGAAAGGGATCTGGTTATAATGTGATTCTTAAATAATGTTCCTTCTGATTTTTTTCAAGTTGTGTGCAAACGACCATGCTACATAGTATTAAAAGGCCTTGGAAGGAGTCTGCGTATTTTTATTTTATTTTATTTTTTGATGAGGAAGATTAGCCCTGAGCTAACAACTGTGCCAGTCTTCCTCTGTTTTATATGTGGTCACCACCACAGCATGGCTGACGAGTAGCTATTACTCATGGCTTAGCTTTGAATATATTTACATGATTATATTTATATAAATATATGATATTGTGCTAATTACTAAAGTAGCCATACAGCTGCTTTGGGAAGGTGGGAAGGATGTGCGTGTGTAGTGGGAACGGGGATGAAAGAGCTTAATCCTCGTCTTCCGTAGTGAGAAGTCAGTAGATAGGCCCTAAATGTAAAGAAGAAACGTGGCAATGAATATCAAGATAATTGGCTAAAAGAGGTAAAAATCGATTCCTCTGGGGAGGAAGAAACGAAAGGCACTGCTATTTTTCATACAAACAAACCTTTGCAGACTTTTTAACCTGTGTCCCTTTGTAAGAAAAAAGATTAAAGAAAACCCCCCACAAAACTGGAAAACAAAAAAGAAAAAGAAACTCTTTTTTAAGGTAAGCAAATACTTAGTACTTAGTCCCGCTGCCCCTTTCTGTTCTCACTTCCAATGTGTGTGCATCACTAACCATCCCAGTCTATTTCCTGTGGAGTCAGGACACGGTTGCGGAATCTTCAGAATCACGTTCCAGTGACCACTCCCAATCAGGAAGAGTTGGCCCTGCTCACGAAACCAGTATCTCTGATATAATTAGTGAAAAGGCACCAATTTAGGCAGATGCTGTCTGGTTCTGAGACGTTCGCACCAAAAGAACGTTGCTAAGATGCATTATTTGGCCTAGGATTTGACTACTCTAAATGTGTCCTAAAGTAGCTGCATTTTAAAACTTCATCTGTTCCGAATATCATTCCTACTTCAACTCACAAACATGGGAGGGCATAATTATATCTCAATAATTGTTCATAGATGTAGGATAATCTAAGAGTATGTTTTCAGCATCTAGCACTGGACCTAACCTATAATAGGCCAGTAAATGTATGAATGAATAAATAAATGAATTGTCTTGTATAATCAGCTGCAATTAAAAAGAAAACAAGATATCTTGAGAAGCTGAAGAAACCAACCTTTGCAAAAGCAAGAAGGGAGTCCATAGCTTCTTCTGCTTCTCAATCACCAAAGCTGACCTGTGGTTGTGAATGATTTTAACTTCGGAATTAAAGTAGTTTTTGCCCTTTTTTTCTAACTCTTAATAGGGTCTTTCCAGTTAAAGATGTGCCCCTGGAGACTGATGACCTTACCGACTGGCTCTATCAGCGTTTTACTGAGAAAGAGGACCTCTTATCGCATTTTTATGAAACAGGTACACAGTGTCCTGTTACGTACATTCCTGAAGCTACTCCTAGTTCCAAAGGTGTGCTTTAGGGGAGATAATCATCTTTCAATTCTTCAGATACCCTGAAGGAATCAACGTATTTCTGTATTTAAGAAGTTCAGCTTACAATTTTCATAAAGAAAAATTTGTGTTGAATTTATTCAGGGTCTCACTTCATCAGCCAGTGTTGCAAAGATCAACTGATGAGTAAACTGTTGTACAAATGGACCTAAGTCAGGAGAGTGCACAGCGTGTAGAAGACTGCCATCATGCACGTACAGTTGTATGGGCTGTTTTAAGAAACAGCAGATCAGGTTTATGTTTTGGCATTGTACATACTTGATTGTTGAAATAATACCATCATCTTCCAGTCATTTGAGATCATTTCTAACTGCATTTTTACATGCTTATTCTTTTCTTTATACCTAGGGATAAAGTTCATTTTTTAAGGTTCATGGATACACCTTTATACTTTTCTCGATAGGAGAAAAAGTCTATTTATCCTATTTTCTATACTTCATATTCTCTACATTCTGTGAAACTATGATGCAGTGAAAAACACCTTTGGGGAGATGGAGAGAGGAGGAAGAAAGGGAGTTAGGAAAGAGCTCCAGGCACTACCAAAGACCTTTCACAAATAGCTGTGTTGTAGGCCTATTTTCTAGAGCCTACAATAGAAAAAAAAGGTGAAGAGAAAGTTGTCCCAGGTCTGAGGTTGGCCATGGGGTTTTAGATTAACAGAAGGACCTATTTTTTTCCCACTTAGACTTTTTTGGTCCGGAATTAAAGTGGATGTTAAATCAGACTGTCAAAGGCCAGATGCTGAGCAAAGGCTGATACTGTTAATTACCCTTAATGCTTTTGTTTGTGTTTAGGCTTGTTTCACTTTGCCCTCAACAGGATTCCTTCCCGATCTTAACTTTCTGACTCTGGGCTGTGGAGTAGTGCACATTAATGGGGCAGGAGTTGGCCACTGCGTGTGTCTTTAGAATGCCTAGTGAGACTGATGGAACAAGATGGCCCTCTCCGCTGTGTGCAGTCCTTGGTCTTATTCTCAAGTTTTCTTTAAAGATCAGACAGGATGGATGTATAACAAGGCATGAGGTGATTAGGAGTCCACGAAGGTCTCTCTTCTTTTTCAGTCTCAGGCTCTTGCTTTATGGTATTTGTCCTAAATTTTAGCAACAGTAATGGAAGCCTCTTTATAAGAGAGCTGTTTGCATGATAGACCTTGAAATTTGAAAGTCCTCTCTGTAGATTGCTTGTAAGAAGCAAATCCTCTCAGAAATCAGCTTACCCTATGGGATTATCAGCGAGGACAGAGACTATCTGAAATGCTGTAGAGCGTTATCAGGATGACCTTAGGTAATATTGCTCTGAAATGCTGTGGCTTTCTTTTCCAGGAAAGAATTTGAAGACATCTGTTTACTCTGTGTTTCTCCTTTTTGTTATTAAGATATATTTCATAAAGCATATTGCCTTTTGAAACTGTCAGTGATTTACAACCACTTTTTTGTGGCAAAAACATTTAACATGTAAATGGAGGAATTAGTATAAGTTATGCTATTTTGAAATTATTTAATATTGATTTCACGCATCCTGTGTCCTGGCCACTGTGGAAATCTCTAGGGATACAGTGGGAAACAAGGTAACCAAAGTTCCTGCTCTCATGCAGCTTATATTCCAGTGGGAGACAGACAGTAGACAAGTCTGTAGAAAAAAGAAAGATAGGTTGGGATCATTACAGACTGTGGAAAGTGCCAAGAAGGAAATAAACACAGAGGTGAGAGTGACTGACGGGTAGGGGAGGTGGTGGTACTGAGGCAGTGGACGGGATGCAGCTGAACTGCCATTCACTGAGGTGAAGGAGAAGCATGCCAGGCAGAGAGAAGAAGGCCAGAGGGTTAGAGGCAGGAAGGAGATCAGCAGTTTGAAAATTGTGTTTCAAATGAGATTTCTCATCAAGAGCAATGGGAAGTCACAGAAGATGCTTTAGAAAACAAAAAACAGAAACTCTAAACTAACATTCAACTTGTCTTCCAGGAGACCTACAACCACAGTAAAACGAAGTAATATTTCTATCTTGTCTTTTAGGGGCTTTTCCACCTCTCAAGGGCCATAAAGAAGCTGTTTCCAGGGAGATGACCCTCAGCAATATGTGGATATTTCTCATACACTCTGTTACGTTTTTGTCAGGCTATATGTGGTACAACATCATTCAGTATTTTTACCATTGCCTGTTTTAGGAATTGACTTGGACTTGTCAAAGTCACCATAGGAGTTCAGACTTTCATAAGCGTGCATTATTTTACATGTGCAAATCAGAATATTTAAAAAAAGCAAAAGAAATTCAATGGATGGATTAATATTTGTCCCCCTTTGGGATATTTTAAAACTCTACTAAAATGAGGATCAGTAATATAATGACCTGCTAATATATTTTAAGGACTCTTCGGGTTTTAAAAAGATACGCTCTACCACACATTTAGGCAAACATCACATTTGGAGAAGAGGAAATCATAAAATCATCCTAGAAGACTGTCTGAAAGAGATTCTGTTGCCACCAGGTATACTTGATAATCTAGTTCAAGCTCAGAAAGCTGTCTTCGTTCCTCTTAGCTAGTAGTCTCTATTAGCGCAGGGCTGACGAGTGCCCTCGTTCTAACTCCTGCTGTGTTACTAGTAACCTTGAGGGGAGCTGGTTGGCACATTCTGAAGAACTATTTCCCCGAGGCTTGCAGTGACGCTCTGGTCCTCAACAGCTAAGTGAGGTTCAGTGTCAGGCAGGCTCTGGGGGAGGGGGAGCAGTGTCCACTGGACACATCCTGGTACTAGAGTGTGTCCTTGAAAAAGGCTGGCTCAGTCCCACACCGTGTTTACATGCACGAGTGCTTTCCCTTGTAGGAGGGGGTCACTTGATTTTTCTTTTTGTATAAAAGGCATATCGTAGATGGATAATTGTCTTTTACAAAATGCACTTTTATCAGATATTGCAAAGGATTAGTAATATAGCCTGAAAACAAATGTAAGTGTGATCAGTGAGTGGGACTCTTGAGAGGCTGTCTTGTCTCTGCACGTGTGCCTGTGCACTGATGCTCTCCAGTGCCACGCTGCCCTGGGTGCCACACTGATGGCAGGCCTCTACCTGTGGCTCAGAGGCATTTTTTTTCCATTTTGGCATATTAGCACCAAGTGTATTTGGGGATGATTGAAACAAACTAATGTACAACATTTAAGTGATCAATTTAAGGTCAAATAGGCTTAGAAAGATAAGAGCCAGAGGCAGACACTGGCTTAGAACAGTGACAAGTTCTCACATGGCGCCCCCAGACCCCCTGTTCCAGCATCACATCAAGTTGCTGCCCGTGTCAAGGTGGTGTAACTAGAAGACAGACCAGCGAGGAAAGGCTTCCCAGTCTCTTCCAGTTGCTCCTGAAGAGGATAAAGTTAAGTGTCTATTTCTAGAAAACATTTTTTTGTTTTTGTTTTTGTCACTCTGTTCTTGTGGTTTACCTCATAGGAGAACCAAACTCTTCTTAGAAAGTGCTGGCGCTGCCTCCGTCCGTCTCCTGCACTCCCGCTGTAGAGTCAGAGTGTGTTTTCTGGTTTGGGATTGCAAGACTATTAAGATCCTAGTAAGTCAGTGATAGTTTCCTGTCATGTGAGCAGCGTAGGTTCCCCTGTTGCTGCTAATCGTACAAATGACAGTTTTGAGAAGTAGGACAGAAAATAAAAATAAAGGCTAACGTTTTCATTTTTAAATAAACCAAAAAAACTAAAAAGATGTGAGTTTTCTCCCAGTTATGTGGGAAAGGTAAAGCAACACCAAATAAAAGCCCACCGCAGCTTCATCTTTAGGTTAACTCAGTGCATATGAGAAAGAGAATGAAGCGTTAACTGAAATACCTCATAGCGTGTTACACGAGCTCTGGTAAAACGCGGAGGACAGTGTTAATATGTTTGGTTTTGTAATGGTTGTTATAAGATGCAATGTTTTTTGAAACCTAAGCATGTCCTTATGTATTTTGTGGTGACAGTGAGTGGGTGAAACCAATCTCCATTTAGAGGTATGGATGATGATAGGAGGCCAAATAGAAGCTTAAAGATGCTTCTGTTTGAGGCCCAGCAAACTGCTAGATTACAGGATGAATTGAAATTATTCATTTGAGAGATTATTCAGCCATCTGGGGGATAAGTTGCTCATTGTCAGGTATGGCACGCACAGTTCTGGCTAATAGACCTTTTTCTCATTGCTAAAGCAAGTCAGAGGGAGAGCGGCCGGCTCTCCTATCAAAAAAGAGAAACGCATACGTAAATGTGACCTAGGGCCACTCTCACCATCACTGTGCTCCAAAGGAATATAATAGTGTTTAATGTACTGGACACATTACACAAATTATTCTGTGTGATGCTTTACTTTTAGCGCAGACTTATTTCAGCAGTCTCCACAGTGACATACCAATAGATGTGTGAGTTAATTTCTGAAAATAGACCTGTGAGTTGTAAATAGATGTGTATTTGATCTGCCCTATCCCTCTTTGATTCTTTATCAACATGTTCTCTTTCTTCTGTTTGCAAAATACGATTGTTTGAGAGCATTGATAGTGCTTTCCTTATCAGTAACTGGAGTTCTCCTGCCTGTGTTCGAAAGGTCAAGAGAGAATCAGTGTTCTCATATGGCAGTCAGGGAAGCAGCAATGTGCCACTGTACAGAACTGAATAAGAATTCCTAATCTGTATTTTCTTTGCAAAGTGAGATGAAAGGAGTTTTGAAGAATATACATTTTGTCAAGGAGAAAGGAAATAAAACGTTGCCAGTTTTATACCAGTAGCTTGTAAAATCTCAGCACTTTTTGGTCTCAGCCGATCTGCCTAGATTCCCACAGGTTGAGAACTCGCTGCTGGATGCTGGTCTCAGCGAGTCACAGTGATGGAGCATCCGCTTGGCCACGCGCAGGGGCGGCGGCTACAGAAGTGACCACCCCAGCAGTTCGCTCTTAACTTCAGAAACTGTTATTGTTGTTGAAATATACAGATATTGTGGAGAAACCTCTATGCCAATGGAAGGTAAAGAATAGTCACAGAATGGAAAATGATGTTCTGGGTGGGCAAACAAATTAGTTGACTCTAAATAGTAGATTTTTTAAAAAATATGTAGCTATGAGTTCAGAGCTGTCATATTATTAAGTAGTTGTTAATATTACAACCAACTCTTAATTTTCCACAGTAAAGGAACTAGAGATTACTGGATAATTAATCCAGTAATAAGTCATAGTAAGCCAAAAAATCGAATTGTGTTTAGGAATTTGAGTTTTTGTTCTCATCAAACTTTTTTTTTCTTCTAGGGTTGCTTACTAATTAAAAAAAATGATTTGAGTTGTTTGTTAGTTTCTCTTGCCTGTATATTTATGATTATGTTAATGAGTAATGAAGAGTTGGAAAGACAGACAGCTTCAGGAAGAGGAAACACGGACACCTAAATAATCCGTAGGCCAGGAAAGGAATAGGTAGTGGTATTGCAGTTGTTCTCAAGCCTTTTTATGAAAATGAAAAGTTAGATCACCAAATGCAAATGTCAGAAGGTCACTCTGGTGTTGATACCATGTGATTGATGTTAAGAAGGCCGCTCCATTCTTTGCTCGTGTCACTCACTTCATGTGGGTTTGTCTAGTAACGTTCTTTTGACAATCACTTCCCTAAAGACTCTTCTGAAGTGGGACCTGGTTATCATCATAGGAAGTAGTCTTTAATCATGGATAGTCTAATTGGATTCTTTTTATATTTAAGAAAATTGTATTTGCACTGCTGAGTAGGAAGAGTTAATTCTTTTCATCATGACACAGGACTTCACTCCAGAGTTACTAGTACAAGCATGTCGGCTCTGGTCCACGAAGGATGGATAAAAGTGGTTCGTGTTATTTTTTGCCATGTAGTGCTGTGAACCTTACATCTGTTCACATTGCAAGGCAAAGTCAAAAGCAGCACTGGGCAGCAGGTGTACTGGTTCATTTTATAAGGGGTAGATAGAGGCTAATATGTTTGGGACCAAAACTACCTAAATTAGATATTTCTAGATCACAAAAGGGCCGGGTGTTCTCTGGAGCAGTAGCAATGACTACTGGTTGGTGCTCTATTGTAATCATTTTGCTTTGATCCCCAGCAATTAGGAACTGGGCCCTGTGAATAAGCTGAGGGTGCTGAACTGTTGGGGGAGGGTGACTCTAGCCATATGGAAGATAAAATGTGGGTTTTTCTGCAAAATTTCCATTTGAGGATTTTTACATTTAATATTTTTTTAAAACAGTTGAAAGAGCAAAAAAAAATTTTTAAGTGTATTCTAGTTGCAAAATATGCACACATATTTTGAATGGCTTTATTTTTATTGTGTAAAACTATTGAAGACATGACTGTGATGCACAAATTCTTCCATGTAAGGAGTCTATGCATTTTACAGTAACTTATTTCATGACCGGGTAATGAAACAGTTATACCTGGAGCCGCCATCGTCGTATTAAGTGCTTTCATTTTCTTTACAGTTATTACAAAGTTGTATTTATTTTATACAATGCCGTAATGTTTATTCAGCTTGTTGGCCTGTCTTTCTTTCTCTGTGTATCTGCATGTTGTAATGTATGATGAGAGTGAATGTAAAGGCTGTGGCAACTGTCATTAATTTTTGTAAAGGGCTGGTCACATGTGGATCTGGTTTATGAATGCATTTGGGATTATTTTAGTAACCAGATCACCTTTTCAGAAATTTAGATGTGAACACCAAAAGAAGCATTTTCTTGACAAAAATTAATAGCTGGTTCTATTTTTTTTTAACCTAGAAAAAATAAAGTTGATTTTTTTTCAAGTAAAGTGCTTTTAATTCTTAGTAGTGGGGAGGGAGTGTTTGTGTTTTACTGAAGGTGTTTGGGCATTAACGTCTGTGGGCGTGTACTTAGAGCACACCATGGCAGCTGGATGCTGAGGGTAAACTGAAAAACCAAATGAAAAAACACCGTACTTTCTTCTGTGGCTTTAAAGTACCCCTCCCCCGGCCCCACCCCATTTTTCGCATCCAGAGGTGTACTGATAAATGTTTAACAGTCTTCTCTCTTGGAATAAAAATTATATGTACAATTGTACATAAGTTTGTTATAAGTTTTGCTGATAGCAAGGATATATAACACAATTGACAAATAATAATAATAAAACATGCTTTCTTGTAAATTCCATATAGCCAATTGATTCTCCCAAGATGTTTTAATTGATTTTTGCTGAACTCTTGTAGCCAACCTATGACTGCAATTCAACCATGACTTGAAAAATGGAATTACATCCTAATCCACTTATTTCTCAAATATATTGTCATTCTGTCTGGTATGTGATCTGTTAAACTATTTCTTATCCTTGCACAAATTATACTCATTAAAGTGAACCACTTTTAGCTTCAGCACCAATTGTAAGCTTATATAATTTAATTTAAATAACAGCTGTTTAACAACTGCTGGCGAAATTGAACCATCGACTCTTGGGAGCCAGTAGGCGCTGTCTCCAGCACACCACTGCCCCGTCGTATTTTGTGAGGTTTTTTTAAACCGTTAGTGTTGAATAGACTTCTCACAGTTTATACTCTGCTCTCAGGAAATTCCCATCACTGACCCTTGCGGGGGGCTTTAGAGATTGAGAAAGCATTAGCATCAGTCCTACAGAGCGTGCTTTCAATTTGAAGAATTTGACAAAAGCAAACTTTTCCTGAAGTACGTGGGAAGCTTGCATATTTCTAAAGTTGGTTCTGTGATTTCATTGCTCAAAGCTAAGTAAACTGATAGAGCCATCTCTAAGATTTTGTTTTGAGCATTTAAAACATTTATTGTTTAGATATTTGTTTGAAGAATGTATTTGATCCCACTGAAAGAATTCAAATGTATTAAAATATCTTATACAATCTGCCGAATAAGTTAAATGGTTAAGGTTCAGTCTACCTCTTCTTTTTGTGTCTGGATTTAGGCTGCCGTCTTGGTGAGTTGTAATTTTTCCCCCTTGAAGTGGTTTCTGTGGAAGACAAAGAACAAATTGGAAGCAGAGGCCTGAAAGCACATTGGAGGCGCTCAGAGATCTAGTGCTGACCAGCCCTATTCCTCATGAGCTGGGGAAAAAAAGCCATTGTTTTAAATTTCCACTTAATATGAAAATGCTTGTTTTTAAAATGTTTCTTCCTGCTGAAAACATGTATTTTTAAAAGGAAAAAAATTCCTCTTTTGGCTGTAAGAAAAAGTTAGCTATATGAGCAGGTGTGACCATATCACAATATGCTGATATGATAGAAATCAATAAATTTTTACCTCTCAGGACTTGGATCACCTTGTTCCTAACTCTTAGAGGCTTGAGAAACATAAACGAGGTATCAGTAATCCAAATCACATATAAAGACACACAGAAATGGAATGTGGGAGGAGTGTTGGCTAAGCCCTGGAAATGAGACAGGCTCCTTTCATACGCAGAAAGCTGCTCTTAATTAGGTATGATTGAACCGATTTCACAAAGGAAGAAATTGCAACAATGTTTTTCACCAGAAAGCCTGAGCCTATTGCAAAGCTCGTTCCTGAGTTTTCCCCTGGAAAGTTCCTGTCGCCTCTCCTTGAAATACTTTCTGCCTTTTAGGTCTGAGACTCACTCTAGAGATGGTCGTCAAGTTCTCACTGTTTGTTACCCCAGGCAGGAGAGACCACTGGGCCATCTGAGATTGTAGCAGCTGTCTTAGTGGTGTCGTTGAGAAATCATGGGGCTGGGATACCTCCCCCAAGATAGCAACCGCTGCATCTTCATTTGTTTGTTTCTTTTTTTGTGAGGAAGATTGGCCCTGAGCTAACATCTGTTGCCAATCTTCCTCTTTTTGCTTGAGGAAGATTGTCCCTGAGCTAACATTTGTGTCAGTCTTCCTCTGTTCTGTATGTGGGATGCCACCCCAGCATGGCTTGATGAGTGGTATGTAGGTCTGCACCTGGGATCTGAACCTGCAAACCCCAGGCCACCAAAGCAGAGTGCTCGAACTTAACCGCTGCGCCACTGGTCCAGCCCTCTTTTGTTTCATTTTTGATGCAAAAACTCCCTGAAAAGTGTCTTCAGTTTTTTACGAGTTAACTAACACAGTATTAGGACCAGCTGATGGACATTTGAGGGAAAAGAAAATAGGTACCTAGAAGTGGAGAAATCAGAAGCTTGGAGTACTGGGTAGAGGAACCCAGGAAAGTTAGAAGACAAAGGGAACGCCAAAGGCTGCTGTCTACACAGAAGTGCACACAGCCCTGACACACAAGGACCCCAGGGAGTGTTCAAACACGATGGTCTTAAGGAAACCGGCTTCCGTGTGCACTCTGTCCTACGACTGCCATCCCTGAGGGCTCACCCTGGAGGATCACACCTGCCATTTCAGGTGCTCAGCCCTCTTGGCAGAAGAAAAGCATGCCTCTCAGCCATTAGGCATCTCCAGGATGCCCAACAAAAGCACAATTCAAAATATTGGTGACAAGGAGCCTCTTTTAATCAGAGCATCTAGAGCCCACAATAGGGCTTTTATCTTTCCCTGATATGTACACATTTCAATAAGGACAAAGGATGGCATTGGAAACCAGGCATCTGGGCCTGTTTTGTGTGTTTTGAACTCTGATATATTTAGAGTGAGACAGTGAGAGCAATGGCAGCTCAGGCCTCCCAAAAAGCACAAAAGTAGAAGTAACCAAGACTTGGCTTAGACGCAGGGCTGGGACATCACTTTGGTTAAAGTGAGTCACAGGGCCAGTCCAGATTCAATGTGGGAGGGTCTACAGAAGGGTGTGAGTACCGGGAGCCATGGCCCGTCGGGAGCCATCTTTAAAGACCAACTATGACAGTAAAAACTTCCTCAGCTATCTGAATAGTTAAAGATGGGTCTAGAAGAGTTCTCGCACTTTAACAAGTTCACCCATAGTGTCAATAGTTGGAAATTTTTTGAGTTTCCAAATACTTTAAGAGAATTAGATCTGTTGATCTATCACTCATGCATATAAATCACATTAATCAAAGGGCACCTATTAAAAGCGTGGAGGCTTTGTTGGGGAGTAATCTTTATATTATTTTTGGCATTGCTTGATCATAACTCTTTGGCCCTTAGAATTTCAGAGCTAGTAGGAACTTTAGAAATCACCTTGTTTTGGGATGGCGCGTTTCATTCTGATGCAATTTTGGTCCATTGCTGGTAGCATCAAATGGCTACTTAATAGCATTTCAGGGATTAGAACCAGGTCTCTTGATTTCCCTTCAAATGTTTTTCTCCAAACAGCAGATTGCCTCTGTTTGGGTTTCTGTTTTTAGTAAATAAGAGTTAAATCGAAAGGATTGTGTATACCTGTTAAAGAGGTGATGGATCCAAAAGCTTCTATAATTTTCTTTTCCTCAATTTTAAAGTAAACATAGTAGTTCTCAAGCCCTACATTATTTTTTTTATCTTCCCCTCAGTTGATGCAAAGATACAATTAGCCACTAAAAAAGTCTGAAATCCATACTTCTTATCTTTTTTGGATATGGAAGTGAAATGTATTTTGTTTATATTTTTGCCCTATATGGTAGAAGATAAAGAGAACGCCTTCGTTTCAGACTGAAGAGGATAGAGCTTTCAATCTCATAGTAGTTCCTTTCATTTCTGAATTCCAGGTATGTAACTGGCAGCAGGTAATAAATTCAGGGCCACGGCTGCCTCTGGTGCCCAAACGTCCCTCCATCACAGCGGCTGCTGGGTTACAGGGCTTGCCCGCGTAGGAGCCCACAGAAGGGCGGCAGAACCCAGGACCTGGCCCAGGAGCTTGAATCTCAACCCTTTGACAAGTTTTTTATCCTCTCCACCTCACTCTCCTCGTGTGTTAAATGGGAAACTTTCAAAGAGTTCTTTTCAGTATTGAATGACAGCATGTACGTGAAGCACACTGTACCGAATACTCAGTGAGAGAGGCTGCTTTATGCCACCCCAACTGGGTCTAACAGAGGATGCAAATTATTCCCACACCTTGCTGTGCCTGAGGGCCAAATTACTGGTTCGGTTTGGAAGAATTGTATCCTTGTCACATAGGCTGTAATGCCCACCTTCCCATTTGCCAGAGCCCTGGGTCCTTTGGGTTTCTAAGGTGGACTGAAACGCTCTCAGCACAGCCAAACTCCTCACCTCACCTGGTCAGACTATATCTAATTATCTAGGCTCCAGACAGCAACAAGAAAAAGCTTTGAGGTCAGAGAGCCAATTAGGAAGGTAAGGAGACTAGGGTATAAAGAGGAAATAGGACCTGCCAGACAGAAGACATTACATAGTCTGAATAGGGACCTATTTTTGCATCTGAGACATGATGTCACTTGTGGTGAAGACCTCAAACTAATTATCAAAAGGGAGGGAAATACAATTTCCAGTAGTTAGAAGATATCCACCAGCCCATAGTTCTCTATGTATAATTCATGTGATCCTAAGTATAAAAGGACACATTGAGGACATCCTAAAGATTCAGGAAGCCACAGTAATTTAGAAAACTTGTTCCTTTCTTGTTGCAGAAGATTCTAAAGTTCATGTCTTGAGAACTGACATTTTATCTTCCAGTCAAAAGTGCCGCATACTCAATTCTTAGGAATTTGGTACCAAAAGGAAGTGGGCAGAATGAAAATGAAATATTGCTTATGGTTATTGAGGTGTTATGGTGGAATACAGAGGAGCTTGAGACGGAGCTGGGACAGCAGGCATGGGTTTGAGGCTCAGCTTTGCTGGGGATGGGTGTGAGGAGGTGATAAGAGGTGATATTTCAAAGCCTGAACTGGCCCTAAGAGCCTCTGATTCCCCAGCCTGATACCCAACTGGCTGTCCAGCCCACCATTCACAGAACTTCTTTGGAGCATCGACACCAGAAGGTGGCAATTCCACAAGAGAGAAGGTGGGCAAAGCTGAGATTATGAAACAGGTCTCTTAGAGGAGGTTTGGAAATACTTAGAAGCCATCATCTGGCGGGAAGCTTGGCATGAACAATGACTCATGGAGATGACCTGTGCCTGCCCAGGCAAGACACTTTTTGGAGCAGTCCTGGGCTGGCCAGTAATGAAGAGAACCTAGCTTTGTTTTCCTAAAGGATTACTAAGAAAGGCAAGGGGACTGAATGAGTTAATGAATATGGAATTTATAAAGCAGTTTCTCTTTGGATGCAGAGAAATGGAATAGTTGACTACTCAACCTTCAGAATCCATTCCACGGATTAAGATCAGGAATAGTAATTGGAATAAACTGGAATCATGTCTGAGTGATGGGGAAACCCGGTGTGTCAGCAGGAGCGTTGACTCAGACTGACTTATTCTTTACTGAAAGAGGGAAGAAAGGAACGACAGGAGGGGTACCTCACCAGGCCCACTGGTAGCTACCTGTCTAACCACAGGGGTAAAGTCTAACACAGAGAGACCCACCCAAGCGGAAGTGCCCCATGGGTTTCTCATTTGAAAGGTATTTATTCTTGGGGTTGGGGGGTGGGGAAGAGTGGTAGTGGTGCTGGGTGCAAACATAGGTACAAAGAATCTGAAAACCACAGACAAAAGGAAAATGAAAGTAAAGGCCTTTTTTTGATATAAACCATGGAAGCGGGAAAGTATTAGGTCTGCTGAGCAAGTGAGAAGCAACAAGCATGTCCTTCAAGGAGCACCTGCCACACGCAGCCACAGCCATCTGGGTGGTGCAAGAGTGTGCTTACTGGTGGGTCCACATGGTGAGACGTTCCACCTGGGCTGCTCCTCCCATGGGCTCCAGCTCTTCCTCTCAACCCTGCATGCCACCAAGAAGACCTCAAGCCAAGGACAACCCTTCCTGCCCACTCGGGTCCCAGGTCCTGGGGACCTCCACTCTCAGATAGTTCTTTGCACTAACCCATTGCCTCAGGAGGCTGCCCTCCGAATTGGAGGGCATTGATGAAGTGCTCAGGATTTTCTCAATGGAAGTATTTCCCCTGTCTGGGGTGGGACAAAATCACATGGTTCTAGAAGCTTCCATCTCTTTCTTTGACTAGCCCTTTTAAGAGCATGTGCTCTACCCTCTTTCCTTGTGTGATTGACTTTTTGGCTGTTGGAGGTTATTGTGTGTTTGTTTTGTTTTTAAATTTCTGTGTCATTTCTTTGAGCAATACAGGAGGGAGGTTCTGTGATCCTGCTTTATACCTCCATCTTTAAATAGAAGTCTAATACATTTAAAACAAAATTCAGTTCATTAAAAGGCTGCTCAGCTCATGTCATTTCATGACTATTATTTGAAGTGAAGCATGTCTGAGAAAAGGCATTACATTACCTACAGCCCAGGGTGGAAAACCATTTAGTACAAAGGATTAAGGAGTTTTGTTCTCTTTTGATAGGGTGAAGACTTCCTACACGAAGTGAGATTTCAATTGCTGATAGAAGGAAAGGGAAAGGCTGTTTGGGAAAGGCAGCAAGGGTTGCTAATCTGGAAGCTGCAATTTCTCAACCTCTACTCTTTAGAAATGTCTGCCACACAGAGGGCTGGTGAGCATGCAGTGAGATGATCCTGTGAAAGGGTTTGGAGAACCTTAAAACACTCCACAAGAGTGAGGGATGGTTAGAGTTAGGATGAGCAGTGAAACACGGCGTTTCTTGTCACTGGAAGAATCACAAAGAGGCTGGATGAGCCTGTGCCAGGGGTGCTGGGAGAGAGAACTCAACTCTTGGTGGGTGTTGGGCCAGCTGGCCCCTAAGGCCTGTCCCTGCATGGGCCCTTGTCAACAGGGCCTGAGATGAAAGCTCCCACTGTGCCTTCATTTTCCGCTGTACTCAGAGGAGGCAAGAAACAATGAGCTCAGCTTGGCCGGAGGACAGGGTGCATTTTGCTCTCATCCCTGCAGAGGCTTCTCCCCAAGCATCAAACCATGAGGCAGGACCAACTACACAGTGTGTGGGACCCAGTGCAAAATGAAAATGCGGAGCCTCTGGTTCAAAAATTTTAAGAATCTCAAGATGGCAACAGCAGAGCATTAAAACAAGTGCAGGTCACACATTTATGAAGTCAGACCTGCCAGCAGAACTGCCAAGGAGGAAACGAGGAATGGGAAGAGCCAGGTGCGTGGGTGCTCCTTGTGCAGGGCCTCGGGGGGAGGGCAGGGGCCTATTTGTGCCTGTCCTCTCAGCCACTGTGGTTCACTCTTTTTCCAGGGGGTTGTGTGCAATTGCTTCGAGGGGAACAGTCACGGGGGAACTGCTACAGGAATGTAAATGGGTCACCAGCCCAGAGCCTCTTCTCCTTTATTGCCCTTAGTAAAACCTCACCAAACCCACCTGGGAGGTGGGCAAGGCCGCTGGGAGCTACAGCTGCCCAGACAGGCAGAGATGACCATGCGCTCAGCCAGTTGAGGGGAGTCTTAGTTTGGGTTCCCCCTAAAACAGAGGCTGAGATAAGGCTTTGGGTGCAGGTAGTTTATTTGAGAGATGGTCCCTGGAATGAGTTAGGGAGCAGAGAACATGGAAAGGACAGGAAAGGAAAAGGGACGAGGAAAAGCCAATATTAGGGAGCCTTATTGAGGCTCCCAGCGTCGGCAGTGGGAGCTCAGCTCTGCAGGAGTCTGGGCATTTACCCGCCACCTCCTGTCCCCCTTTGGTTGGGAGCTGCCCCTGTGGCCATTAACTTCCTCAGACTTCTGGACTGCCCCTCCAGGGGATGGGAAAGGCTTCCCTGGCACTGGAGAAGCCCCAAGGCCAAAAGGAGAATGATTCATGGCGAGCGCTTCCGGTGGAATGTGCCCAAGTGAGGAACCGGAGCCATTCACCACAATGGCAGCTGAAAACAGCAGGCCAGGGAATATAGTGAGGGACACCGAAGACGTCTGTCCAGGGGCCACCAGCTTTCCCTAGGGACCAGCTCCCAGTAGAATATAGGGGCAGGGGGGTGGCAAGAAGACCCGTGGACAAAATGTCATTTGCATTGTTCTCCTGTGGATTTCTCTGTCCCCCTCCGTTTTCCTCACTGACTGCAGTTGTCCATTCTTTGAGCTACTCTCTTACCCGACCCCTGCCCGTCACAGCACGGAACCAACACCAGAGCACAGGAGAGTGGGCCAGCGGGGTGGGGTCAGTCAGCTGTTGTTTATTGAGTGTGTTGTTTACTGAGTGGACTGGCAAGGAGGCCAGGGAGGGGAGAAAGGACACAGCTCTGTCCGCCTTCCCACAGCATGCTGACCTACTCCAGATGGCCTCACAGAGATTAGCTGTGGCCGTGCTGAAGGGCTGCAGGGGAGGGGCTAATACCTAGAGGCTTCCTAGAGAAGGAGCCTTGAAACTGAGGGAAGAATTCAGAGTGAAACTTCCCTGCTGGCAGGAGAACATTGGAGACCCCCCCGGCCACCCTTCTCCTCAGTCCCCTCCTGCCCGCAGGCTTGCTGGGGGCTCTCCTTGCGCTGGCCTAAGGCTGTCCTGGGCTCAGCCGGGGTTGCTGGCTCAGTGCCAAGGCCCTCTTCCCTTGGCCACATTTCCTCGAAACCACTTTCTAGGCCCTAATTGCTCCCTCATTGTTCTGAGCCACTGATTGACAAACTGCCCGGCCGGGAATCCCGAACCTACAAGCAGAGGCACACTGTTTATGATTGTCAATGATCCATGAGGGGGAAGAGTCCAGGCCTGGGAAACAGGCATCGCAGGGTAAGGTCTCAGCTCCCCTTCTTTCTGGCCAGCTACGTCAAATTTCCTCGGTTTCCACATCTGCACACAATAATCCGTCCTGCCACATCCACCTCACAGGGGTGTTGTGAGATCAAATGAGCGGAATTTTGAACCAACGGAATTTTATGTAAATGTAACATAACCATTGTTTGCTGTCCTGTGCCTGGCATCGCATCGGACCAGTTCCTACGCTCCCTTCCTGGCACACACAGTGGAGCTTGTTAGCTTGGCAAACTCCTGCTTATCTGGAATCTAAACTGGACGCTCAAACAGGCCAGTTGTGAGCTGTCTCAAGATCATGGTGCGATGAAAAGGGCGCTTAGTCCTGGGCCAGAGCCAGAAATTCTCCTGATCTCCAGATCCAACTCCCAGCAGCTCTTTGGCCTTGGGAAAACTCCTGGATTTCCTAGAGCCTCGCGTGATTCATCTGACAAAAGGGGTTGTTATGCTGCCCTGTCTGCCTCCTGGGTTCTCCTGAGGGTCACGCTGGAGTAAGGGAGTCTATACAACGCTGAGCTAGAATGCTCAAGGGCTGCGTAAATGTCGGAGATTGTTATTGAAAAAAGGCTTTCCGATTTGATGCCATAACACATCCATCCATCAGGCCTAGTGTGGATGTGGAGGCACAGATAAGATCCTGAAATGTTTTCTGGATCTTCTGACAAAGTCAGTGCACGAAGAGAAAGACTCATCCTTTTACTAGCCGGGGGTACAGGCAGTTGTCACCTTTACAGTGATGGTTGTTGTGGGTCAGAAAGAAGAAACAGGAAGGAGGGGAGTGGACTTTGAGTCCCAGAAATAGAAGAAGAAAATGACAAGAAGTCTTGGGAGAGATGGCAGGAACCAGAAGGAAGTTGCAAAGCAGGGCCTAAAGTGCAGAACCTGGAATGAGACAGTGTGGGACAGGGTGGGGACTAGAGGACGATGTCGGAGCGGTGGGGGGGCTGCGGAGGAGGCCAGGAGAGGGTGTGGTAGGTGATGTTGTCTCCCCGCCTGCCGTGCTGGCAGAACCCCGATTTTTCTCATGGGTCACCCGTGAACCGCAGATGAACCATGATTGGTTTAGAATTTCATTCTATACCAGTGATCAGTTTATTAGTGTGGCCAAGTCCTGGCCAATAGAATCTGAGGGATAGTCTACTGGGGGCTTCCAGGGAAGATTTTCCTCTTCCTTGATTAAAAAAAGCGAGAGAAATGAGGGAGCCTCTTTCCTCCTCCCCACCAACAACTCCCCCAGTGCCTTGTCCCGTCCCACGTGACCTTAAGTATCTGAGCCACGTAATAACTGGTTCATGTTTCTAACCAGCTCTCCCCGTGGCCCACACCTTCCTGTTTTGACTGTTGATGTGAAAGGTTGAGGGTTGGAGCAGCTACAGCCATTATCTAGTGAGGAGACAGCCAAGGGCCTGGTAGAGAAGCTAACCCAGAGCCTGGACGTTGTCAAGCTGCTGAATCTTGGAATTCCCTCCAGGTTTCTTGATGTGAGATAAGGAATGTCTTCAGGGTTGAAGCCACTTGTATTCTAGTGTTCCAGTGACGAGAGAACCAAGGATAAAATAACACTGAAATACGTGCCCCTGAAGGGAGCGTTACAGTTTGCACAGCACTTTTATACACACTTACCTTATTTGATGGTCACGAAAGACAAGAGGAAGAGAGAGCTTACCCTCTTTTTAAAATAAATGAGGACACTGAGGCCAGGGAGGGTAAATGACCTCCAAGGTCACAGAGCTAATTGATGGTAGGTCTGATATCAGAAGTCAGGGTTTCTGACTCTTGGCCCAGTACACTTTCCCCTCCACCTGGGAGAGACCGAAATGGAAGCTAAACAGAGGGAGATGCAAATGCCTCCAGGCAGCTAAAAGGAAAGGTCAGACAGCTCTGTACTCTCACCTCCCAGAAGAGTCTCAGGGGAGAATAGAAGAGAATCTGATCATCAACTACTGGTCGGCTGTGAGGTTGGGGAACCGAGCCCAGGGTAGGAGCGTGCTCTGGGAACTCGACAGAACAGGACCGGGGAGGTGGACAGATGAAGCGTGTGGCCTGTTCCTCCACCACCCCCAGGAAGCTCCTAGATGGAAGCAGGGAAAGACGAAAAAATATAAAGCCAGGATTGGCAGTCTTTCCAAAGCATGAAGCTGATGACTTCCCGAGGGGCAGGCATGCCTGGATCCGGTGGTGGAGACAGGCCATGCGGATGGGGCTAGGCAGAGCAGAGTCAGGAGCAGGGCAGGCTCTGCCTGAGTTTTCCAGAGAAGGGGAGCTCTGAACAGAGGAAGGAGCCAAAGAACCTTGGGAGAGCTGGGAAGGGATGAGGAGGGTGGCGGCCCCATGGTCTTTCTGGGAGCAGGAGGTCCCTGCAGAGGCATCACCAGTAATCCTGAGTGGAGAGCAACGTGGACTTTATTCTTCTGTCCTTCCTCCTTCCCTCCCTCCTTCCTTTCCTTTCTTTCTTCCAATTTTTCTTTCCATCAACAAATATGTACAGAGTGCTTGCCAGGTGCTCAGCACTGGTGCCAAGTGCTGGCAATACAGCAGTGATCAAAACCGACAAGGTCTCCTGGTGCTTACGTTCTAGTCAGGAGATACAGAAAATGACTGAGTGAGATGCAGAAGATCCTCCTTTTCTGCAGATTCCATATTTGCAAACTCACCTACTTGCTGGAGCTTATTTGCAACCCCAAGATCAACACGTCCAGCACTTCCGGAGTCATTCGTGGACAACTGCAGAGTAGCGAAAATTTTGAGTTGGCTGACGTGTACGTTCCCAGATGAGGTGGAACCTTCTCTTTTTAGTTCTCCTACTACCAACCAGGGTCCTTTTTGTGGCCTATTGAGTGCCATGTTTTTTGCATTTTTGTGCTTTTTCAGTGATTTCGCTGTTTAAAATGGCCCCCAAGCATGGTGCTGAAGCCTTGTCTGGTGCTGAAGCTTCATTATTGTAAAATGGTTGGGAAGTACCTTGCAGAGAAAAGATGAGTGTCAGATAAGCTCTCTTCAGGCGTGAGTGAGGTCGGCTGAGTCGGATGTTAATGAATGAACAAAATGTATTAAATAAAGTGTCTTTAAACAGAAACACACATAAAACAAGGTGAGACATTAATGGGTTGTTGAAAATTCCATGGCCAGAGGCTCAGAGGTACCTAACCTATGTTTCCCCAATGACTCAATATTTGCTAGTTCATTGTTCACGGTGACTCTATAGAACATAACTACGTCAAATAATGAGAAAGGACGATAATTTTATTTAGGATGAGTGCTGTGAAGGAGGTCACACAGGGAGACGGATTAGCATGTGATTGGGAGGGGGGTGGTCAAGGGAGACCTCTCTAGGAGGTGACACTTAAGCTAAGATCTGCCTGACAAGAAGCAGGCAGCCAGCCATTGAGACCTGAGCAGACCATTCC